TTTGGTTTCTTTGCATGATATCCCAGTCGACTCGAATGCTGCCACTATTGAAATATTTGTATAATAACTCAGTATGAGGTCATATGCTACATGCAGTTTGAATTCTGTGAAATCACTAAATTTTGCAGGAGTGAACATTTCAGGGATTGTTGCATCGTGAATGTAGTTATCACCTGTAGATGGCGCTGTTCATATGCAATGTACTTCCAGATCAGTTTTATACCTCCTTTATGAACAAGCCATGCATGGCACAGTCCCCATTAGTTATCAAATTTAAGATATATACTTTTGTTTATAGTAATATAGCTGGAATATAACCATGATAGGAATATAATTTTTAACATTAAAATGATTGACATTTGTATCTGATTGTCAAACAAGTACATGTCCATATTGAGAGATATTGCTCTGGAACAGCATTCAAAATCAGCTATTTTGAAATATATATATATATATATAACATGATGTATGACGAATATATAAAATTTTAATATTGATTAATATTGATTAATAACTGATTAGTCAAAGCATTTAAAAGATATGGCTCAAGAAGCCCAATCATTACGCACGCACGCACGCAGGTCAACACATAAATCCCAGTTTTCGGAATGCGTCCCAATGGGGACTAACAAAGACCTCATTTGTATGCTTCACAGGTGTAAAATGCTGGCTGGAACTCACCTTTGTAAATGGAGATTCACATCATACTTGTGGCATTTATCTGACTATCTTGTAAGAACTAAATAAAATAACATCCCCTGTACATGTATTTAATCATTAATTGCTGTTAGTTTTGGTATCTAGTGTATGAAATTTAAAAAAAAATCAGATTGGATGTCTAATTGCACAGCCTTGCTCCAAACTCTGGCAGAAATGACCAGAGTTCTAACTTCGATAGGTAGTAATTCAAGAAAGGCTTTATACAAGTTTGTATTTGCAATAGCGACTGAAGATCACAATCATTCAATTCATACACAGCGCCCTCACACTCATTAATTTATAATTGACAGAGCATAATTGCTGAAAATTGTTTTTATTATATTTACCCCCAACCCTTCCAATTTGCTAAGTTGTTCTAAAAGCATGTCAACATTGAATCTATGAAAATATCCTGGCAACTCAATATTTCACAAGATCTGCATTTGAAATGCAAGTAAAGCCAGTACAAGTGATATGTAGAAAGTAATGCATGTGAAACTATACTTGACTACACACTGTGCACAATATCCCTGCAAAACATGTCTAAATAGGTACTATGCACAATATATCCTTGCGTTACCTGCCTAAACTGGTACTATGCACAATATCCCTACATTACTTGCCTAAATGGGTACTATGCACAATATCCCTACATTACATGCCTAAATGGGTACTATGCACAATATCCCTACATTACTTACCTAAATGGGTACTATGCACAATATATCCTTGCGTTATCTGCCTAAACTGGTACCATGCACTGTATTCCCACATTACCTTCCTAAATGGGTACTATGCACAATATCCCTACATTACCTGCCTAAATTGGTACTATGCACAATATCCCTACATTACTTACCTAAATGGGTACTATGCACAATATATCCCTGCGTTACCTGCCTAAACTGGTACCATGCACTGTATCCCTACATTACTTGCCTAAAATAGTACTATGCACAATATCCCTACATTACTTGCCTAAATGGGTACTATGCACAATATCCCTACATTACTTACCTAAATGGGTACTATGCACAATATCCCTACATTACTTACCTAAATGGGTACTATGCACAATATATCCTTGCATTACCTGCCTAAATGGGTACTATGCACAATAACCCTACATTACCTGCCTAAATGGGTACTATGCACTGTATCCCTACATTACTTGCCTAAATGGGTACTATGCACTGTATCCTTACATTACTTGCCTAAATGGGTACTATGCACAATAACCCTACATTACCTGCCTAAATGGGTACTATGCACTGTATCCCTACATTACTTGCCTAAATGGGTACTATGCACTGTATCCCTACATTACTTGCCTAAATGGGTACTATGCACAATAACCCTACATTACCTGCCTAAATGGGTACTGTGCACTGTATCCCTACATTACTTGCCTAAATGGGTACTATGCACAATAACCCTACATTACCTGCCTAAATGGGTACTATGCACAATAACCCTACATTACCTGCCTAAATGGGTACTATGCACTGTATCCCAACATTACTTGCCTAAATGGGTACTATGCACAATATCCCTACATTACTTGCCTAAATGGGTACTATGCACAATAACCCTACATTACTTACCTAAATGGGTACTATGCACAATATCCCTACATTACTTGCCTAAATGGGTACTATGCACAATAACCCTACATTAGTTGCCTAAATGGGTACTATGCACAATATCCCTACATTACCTGCCTAAATGGGTACTATGCACAATATCCCTACATTACTTGCCTAAATGGGTACTATGCACAATAACCCTACATTACTTACCTAAATGGGTACTATGCACAATATCCCTACATTACTTGCCTAAATGGGTACTATGCACAATAACCCTACATTACTTACCTAAATGGGTACTATGCACAATATCCCTACATTACTTGCCTAAATGGGTACTATGCACAATATCCCTACATTACTTGCCTAAATGGGTACTATGCTATTAGTTCCAATGTTTATCCCCCTCCAACCTATGAGCCCATGTGATTTTTTAAACTGATAACTTTCGAGAGATTAAATGCAATATTAGTGAAAGAATCCATCTTAGATACATTAACAGATCGACAGTGTTGATCTGCTAATGCATCTTTGGCCATAGCACTACATTGAATACCAGTACATAAAATAAGTGCATAAATCCCAGGGCTGTATTGCTATTTCTAATAAAGGCACGTATAGTGATAACCTGTAGTCTACCCGATTCCCGAATATAAGGCACTTGTCAGCAAAAAAAAAGCCATGAAAAAACTTTTGGCAAAATATATCACACTTTTGGAAGACGACAGTGATTTTGTCGCAGTGACCACACCCTGGCAGTTTTTGGCTGCTGTGGTCATTTCAGGGTCTTAACAAACTATACCTTCACCATAAAACCAAAGTATTGTTCTACAGTAATAATAAGTGTGCTTTTCTGGAAAGGTGGCTGGTTACAGGATTCCTAAGATCTCTATTGTAACATGATATAAACATCAAAATATATAGCATATTTCACAGTGTTACCACTTGGGCAAATGTTTGTTTGCTGCACTACATCAAATTGACCATAGAAGTAGGATTTGATTTTTTTATTATAGCATGACAGAAATTTGTTTTAATGTAAGAATTTTGTAAATAGAAATGATGGAAGTAATTTGAATCTTATTCTATGAGGAATACACTACCAACCAATTTGTAGCCATCTTTCCAGAAATAGCGAATAAACTGTACATTTACAATAACTAAAACAATAACAATAACAATACTAACTACTGAACGATATTTACATCTTGTGCTTTTGAAGGTAAGTACGAGACTTTGAATTTGAAAATAAAAAATGTACACGCCAAATATACACATCATACAAGTAAATAAAGAACGCACTGACATCCCTGCAATCCCTATTTATGGAAGTATGAAATGACCCACATCAAATGCATTATTAGATCATACCATTTCAATAGGGATACAAGAGGTATGCTGGAGTTATGCAAATGTACATAAGACAATAAAATAAAAATCATATTTCCTCTACCCAATGCAAGGGAGCTAGTAGAGTGAAAACACAATTATACAATTCAAAAAATTAATTAACAAACTTGATGACCCAAAATTAATTGCTGTATACAATAATAGCATTTCACCAAGAAATTTGATCATAAAATTTAAAAATAACATGACAGTAAAATTATTTTCAAGGCCCTGAATGACAACTTCATGTCTAAAAATAAATTTGCATAGCCAAGGAAATGATATCGATATATACCTTCACATGTCCATTAAGTTAAATACTGCCCTTCACAACAAGCAGCATGTATCAATAATGTATTTGGCTTAATAGTATCCAGGGTATACTGGCCTCAGAATGAGAGTTATAATGATTGTAAATTGTATTGAAAACAAAGGTTTATACATATCTGTTCTGACCTCATAAATATTCATAATAAATATTGTACACAATAACAAAATTAGCATTAGATTCTTTGTTATAACAAGTGTCTAATCCATAGTAAATCTTATTAATACTTAAATACAAGTAAATATTGTATATCCACCAACAAAATATTATCCCTGTAGAATATATATCAACAAGTTTATGAAGATGAAGAAAAAATAAAAATTGAAAATCTTCTACAAAAAAAATTGCTGCTTTATGCAAATCAAATATAGCAATCCTCAAAATTATATAGCACTCCTCAACTAAGTCAAAATTATATAGCACTCCTCAACTAAGTCAAAATTATATAGCACTCCTCAACTAAGTCAAAATTATATAGCACTCCTCAACTAAGTCAAAATTATATAGCACTCCTCAACTAAGTCAAAATTATATAGCACTCCTCAACTAAGTCAAAATTATAATATTGTCCAATAAACTACTCATCCAAAACCTCACCCATGGTTTCAACAGGTAAGTGACCTTTTGGAGCCAATACGAGCCAAGAAATCTGAACTTCCCTCCAAAAAAATGCCCAGGATGGGATATTGGTCAAATCCTGAACTAAGACAAAATTATATAGTACTCCTCAACTTAGTCAAAATAATATTTGTTCTAATGTGAAAACATGATTTAAAACTAATTTGGTTAAAATTTAAAAATAAAAGATGTTGAGAAAATTAAAATAGAACAGATGTACTCTTCATTCTAGTATAACTTATAATAACACATTTTACAGTTGAAATTTAAAAAAAAAATGCATTTGCTTTGTATAAAATTATGTATTCATATTTCATGAAAGGTTATGCCAAGTCATGTGATGTCATGTGATCAAAACTTTACAGAAAGGTCACAAATGCCAAAATAAACATTTTTAGGTGTTGAGCAACAACTACAAAACACATGAGGCAAAAAAAGTGCAAATATCAAAAAATAATATTTTATTTTTAGTTCTGCTATCACCTGGTGGCTTGCTTGACAATTGTGAGAGTTACCTTACCAGGTGGTAGTTTCCTCAATTTCTGCCAGGCTTCAAAGTGAGTTTTATTGGTCACGTCTTCACCATTGATTTTAACTAGTATGTCACCAACATGAAGCTGACCACACTTGTCAGCAACGCCACCTATGATGCATAGATAATAGAAATGAATCAATGAAAGACAACAAATACATCTCCAATAGAACTGCTGCATGGATAACAATAGAAATGAATCAATGAAAGACAACAAATACATCTCCAATAGAACTGCATGTCATTCAGACAATGTTTATGTTCAAGTGTTAACAAGTCAGTTGAGGGCATATTTCCAGTAGAGAAAATGAGGTATACAGATATAAAATCAGATGAGATATAAATCAACTGGAATACATTTGCATCAATTCAGAAAACCAAGATTTCAGTTGTGTGATGCAAAATACACAGCACAAATGAAATACACTGAAATCAATGCAAGTTGTCCTGATTGCCCATATGAAAAACATTTATTGGATAATTTGTGATAATGAGTTGTCATGGAAATGCAGAATAATAATGAATGCAAATGAGTTGGCAGTCGGAAAGAATCAAGATCCCCAATGCAAGAAAAAATTCACTGTGCAAACTTTAGTTTAATATTAGTGCAAAAAATTTAGTATGAAAGCTAATTATGATTATGACACACAACTTACATGATCTAGTTCAAACCAGAAGAGCATTCAGCTAGCATGATGAATGAAACATGCAACATGATTGAGTTAGTAAAACAAGCAATGTCAGAATGATCATTTCAAAATGCTACATGACACACTATAAATGATCATAAACTGGGAATACCAATGATTTATTCATAGAAAATATTGAAATAAGAGTACAGACTAAACTTAATGTGATTTAATATTTGTTTGTGGTGCATGTGGTGTTAATAATAAAGTTAACTATTCTAACTGATGAAGTAATTAGAGTTAGACTTGAGTCTTTTTGTAAATGCATTGTTAGTATAATAGACAAGTTTATATTAAAGATGGCTTTGTTGCTTTTAAAAACATTGCCAATTTGTTTGAGTCTAATACCAAAGATAATATGTGGTATTTCAAAACATTATCAAAACTATTGGTTGTAAATGGCTTATTTTAGCAAACGTGAAACCATATCAGCAAGAAAAATAGGCCAATGGCCTGTTGCTCAACGGCTATTGTACAAAAGATTAGTGCTGTATATGACAAATACCCCAAAAGGCAGTGAGTGAGACGATAATTAATGCTAAAAATGGAATTTTTTACAAAAATAACAAATATTCAATAAAATTAGAATCAAAGAGAGCTTAAAAAGAACTCAAGCGTGTTGAGAGAATAACATAACATGATATTTGCAATTATCTGATTTCGTAATACATGTATTAAACCAAGTTTTGTTAATAGCACCCAAATAGCTTGAATTTCACTAGCTGATTATATTCGTGCACAGACAGACAGACAGACAGACAGACAGACAGACAGACAGACAGACAGACAGACAGACAGACAGACAGACAACCGATGCAGAACAGAAACCCATCTCATAGGCTCAGCGGACCTACGTTTATAGTTTATAAGCATGAATCGTAGAAAATCAGTGATAAATGGCTGGGGTTTGATTCCTAGAATGAACTCTTGTGGTATAATCTTATACAACATCTGGGAATACACAGTTTTATTTGACAAATTTTACTGATTGTTAATATAGTCACAAAATGCTCCATAAATTAATGCAGGTGTTGTAGGTGACCTTTTAAACACTAGGTCAAAAGACACCACAAAGTGTAGAATGCTTGTGCGGTCAAAATAGTAAAACATTGATACCGCAGTAAAACATAAGGTAAGAATATTTGAAAAGACTAACTAACTACACCCTAAAATGAATAATTGCAGAACAAAATAAAATAATAATTACCTTGGAATATTTTCTTGATAGTAATTGGGACATCTCCTTTCAAGGAGCCTTGTCCACCTTCCAAGCTGAACCCAACACCACCAGCACCATTCTCTAATTCCACTATAGTAAATGTGCTGGATTTATCAGGTTCAGGTTTTACTGTGAAGATAACATTCAAAGAATAAGCTGACAATCATGAAATCATATCAAGACATTTTTTAAAAAAAAAATACATACACTTATAAATATATAATGCTTCAATGGCATAAATGGATTCAATATGAGTTTGGTGAAATAAAATAACACCAAAATAATGAATCTTGGCAGTGACTTTGGCCTTCCCATTAAGTCTATAGCAGCTAGTATTGGCTCATGCAGTCCTTGTCAGTGGAGAAACATAAATTTTTTTTTTTTTTTTTTTTTTTGGAAATGAAACACTTGCAATAGTGCATTTTTCAACCCAATTTTGCTCAACAAAAAAAATCTGTACTTTACTTTAATGATGACACACTAAGTAATGATAAATTAATTTGGTAACTGCTATTCAAGCCATGATGAAAACAAAGGAGGCATTTTATTTGTAATTACCAGTCTGAGTGTTTGAAACACAGTAGTGTTAGTGAGATGAGAATATCAAAACACTGGCTAAATATATCAATACCTTCTACTTTGCTTAAGGGCGACTTCTTTGATACTACCAATACAACATGGCTGCGATTGGTTTTAAGATGACTCACAGACTTGGCATGGGTGATACCATCAAGGGATTTTCCATTAATGGATAACAGTCTATCTCCAGGTTGTAAGCGGCCATCTTTAGCAGCTAGGCCTGATGGGAAAACTCTGTGGACCTATTGTGAAAACACAATTCTTGTTATTCACTGCATGAATAACATGCAAGACAATACCAGTGGTTCTTTAGTTACATTTAAAAACAAAGTCAATTACAATCCAGTGATTTTTGTTGGTAATAAATATTTATAGCAACTCAAAACTAACAATGTTGCAACTGCATGTTCACATGTTATACTGGTAATTAGAAGGAATTTTCTTTGGAGGATGAAATTCAAACTTATTGCGAATGCTATATTTCTACGAGATTGAGTACGATCACTTAGTTGATCACTTACTGAAATATCTTTTACTTCTTGATCACTTCCACCAGCCAAGGTCAATCCTAAACTATGACTTTCATCTTCCTTGTGTAAAGTAACAACTATTAAACTATCATCGTTCATTTTCTCAATACTCTGATTGGCTTCTTCAATCAACATCGCCAATTCACTGGTTGTCACTAAAACTGTAGATCCACCAGAGCTTTCAGACAGTCTACTTTCATTGTCACTACTTCTTGGACTATCTGTGTACATATACATTTCACAACTATTTAGTGTAGACCTTAACCAACTGAATACTAACATTTTATACAAATTCTTTGTTAATTTATTCCCAAATGTACATACAATTTCTGACAAAACATTAAACAAATTATGCAGGTTTTTTTAATTTATGAAAAATTACAAAAGTTGACTTTGGCATTCAAAGGATTTATAAACATTTGGAAAAACAATTTTTAATAATCATTTTAGTCAAATATGTAATTGCAAAAATCAATAACACAATCTTTATCACAGGATGATTTTCAAAAACAATGTGAATAATGTGATCAGTCACAATTCTTATGGTAATGTACTGTAAAATGACTAATTTTCGCTGGGTTTAAATTTTGATGATTTACAATTTCGGGCAAATTCAGTGTGTTTTATATTCACGATTTTATAATTTAGATAATGTGTTCTATGCTAAATTTTACATATTCACTGGGTTTTAATTTAGCGCATTTTCCAGTCAGCGAAATAAGCAAAATTAAAACCCAGTTAATAATTAACCCTTTTACAGTAATTGCATCACGAAATATTTTAGAGCATCAGTAAAAAATATTGGCTTACAGAGCATTGAATGTTCATTTTATACATAAAATTTGAATGCATGTACTGACAGAAATAACTAAAAAACAGGCATACCTAAGAAAGATCTTCTCCATGACTTTGGTGATGATCTTGATTTGTCATCCTCCAGCCCAATCCCATCAGTATCACTACCAAAACTATGACCACTTAGTGGACGATGTCTGGTATATGGCAATTTAGGAGAAAATGAGGGACCATCATCAGAAACTGCTGTTCGTCTCCATGGTCGGTTGTTTGAGAGAGGGGTAGATGTTTTGATGGATGTTTCCTCGCTTGTAGAAATAGGATTTGATGACATTTTTCCTTTTTGTATCGAGTCAAGTGGTGGAGAGTGTCTTGTATCAGTTTGAGAATTGGCTACGGTGACTAAAACTGGTGACAAAGGTAGTGAATAATTCTGGGTTGTTGATGAAATTGATGACATACTTGAATCTGACTCAAGGGATGATACAGAATCAGGTGTTGTAGACGTTACTGGAGGTGATACCAATGGGGTTGTTGAGATCAAAGTAGAAATGTTCGACTTTAGTGGTGTTTTGATGGATGATGTAACATGATTATTTGCAGCTTTAAGTTCAAAGCTGTCATCTACAATTGACTTAGAATCTTTCCGTATAGTTACATTTGCTAAACTGTATTGTTCAAATGGTGATGATGCCAAAGAACTGTCATCACCAGTTGTCGGGGAAACTGGTGTATCCATCTCACTTTGCTTAGTTTCCTCGTTAATCAAAGTAGGAATTTGCCCATCTAAATTACATTGCTGCTCTCCATGTTCTGTTTTATCCTCAGTAATCAGGTCTTTCACAAACTCTGCCTCAGTAACAACATCTTTCACAAATTCTGCTCCATCAGTGGCAATGCATTCTTTCACACACTCTTCCTCAATAACAAGTTCTTTCTTATACTTTGCCTCATCAGTGGCAATGGATTCTTGCACATACTCTGCCTCAGCAGCAATGTCCTTGAGAAACTCTGTCGCAGTAACCTTGTCTTTCACATACTTTGACTCGTCAGTAGCAATGTATTTCTTCACAAATTCTGCCTCAGTAACAATATCTTTTACAAACTTTGCTTCATCAGTGGCAATGCATTCTTTCACACACTCTGCCTCAGTAACTCGTTCTTTCCTATACTTTGCCTCATCGGTGCATTCTTCCACATAATCTGCATCAGCAGCAATGTCCTCGAGAAACTCTTCCGCAGTAACCTTGTCTTTTACAAATTTTGCCTCATCAATTGCAATGTATTCCTTTACACATTCTGCCTCAGAAACAGCAGATGCTTCTTCTTGCACCTTTGAAGAATCATTTTCCAATTCATGGTAGATAATGTCTTGTCCAACAACATTTCCTTCCATGGATTTTGAAGGAAAGATAGGTTTTGTAGCAACCTCAGTGGCTGGAGATGTCATGAAATCGAGAAAAGAGCTGCTCAGTGTTTTTGGTGGTGGATGAACTGAAGGTAATGGAGGTGGTATATCATCATCACTACCATCATCATCATCTATTACATCAGCTATGTAAATGTCAACAGTTGGTGATTCTAATGACTCTATAGGCTGTACAATTTCACTTTCTGGTAAATAAGGAAGTGAAGGAGAACCATTCACTTCCGCTGGTATTGCAGTATATATTTCCATTGGACTAGAATGAACACTATTTGGAACTAAAGTATCAGACTCAAACTGGAGAGGCTCAGGAGCACCTTGGTCAACTGGTAATTCTGATGAAACTGTTGGTATATGTGTTGAACTATTGTCTATGCCAATCACAAGGGAATTAGCTTCTACAAGTCCAGATTTGAATTCTTCCTGAAAGTCGGGCTGATTTTCATCTTTTAGGATGTGATCCTTGATCACCCTGGGAGATTCTTCATTAATGTAAAATGCATCTCTTGGCTCAGCTGGTTTTTGTAAATTCAAATGATTATCTTCCAAATGAATAATTTGAGGTGGCAATGCATTCGGCAATGGCGGAGGAGGCTCTAATGGTGTTAGAGAAGTCACCTCAGGTTCATCAACAAACTGTTCAAATATTTCCTCTTTTTCTCCCTCCACTTCATCAAATATCTTAACAATAGCTTCAAATTTCTCCACTTGTTCATCTGCATGTGATAGTACAGTTGTGTTGTCTATATTTGATGTTGGGTCTGAAATGGTTTCAACTAAGTCAGGTTTTCCAAGTTCATCTACACAAGTGGATTTCAAATGTTCATTTGGTGGAGTTGAGACAATGTTATAAGATGATGTGAGCTCAGCATTTTCACTTGCTGGTGATGACCAATTTGGTTTTACGATTGGTAAAGATGGTGTCTTACCGTTCTCATTATACAGTTTAGTTACAAATGGTCGTGAAACTACAGTCTTTGCATTGAGATTTTTAAAAGCAGTGGATGGATTGAGACTGTTTTGGTTAATGGCTGTGTCTGAACTTGGTGATTTCTCAAATCTATCAATTAGTTTTTTGAATTTTAAAGGTGCGTCATCACTTGAGTTAGCATCTTTTGCACCTGGTTTTGATGAAGGGCGTGGTGGAACTCTCGGTGGAATTCTTGGTGGTCGAACAAGCTCATCTTTTGAATAATCATGTATTTTCTTGTCACTTTCAGATTTGTTCAAAGTTGTTTCTTCTCCAAACTCTTTGTACCTCATTATTGGGAAACTATGTCTCTTTGTAGAGTCTGATGGAGACCCCTTAGGTTGTCTGTAAAAGGAACTTGGGGACTCCTTAGTACTCCTTGAAAGTGGAGAAGGAGACTCCCTGAGATTTCTTGTAAATAAAGATGGTGTGCCTGTTCTAGGTAGAGTGTTACTTTGACTGGTAGATGGACTTTTCCTGGGTATTGTTAGACCTTTGAGTTTGGGAGCAGCAATGGCAGTTCGTGGACTATTTTTACCAAACAAAGGTGAACCACTCTTCCTGAGAGGTGGCGCGAAGGTCCGTTGCGTACTAGAAGATGTAGAAGATGAGTATGTACTGTCAGAATCACTCAAAATTTTAGACTGTTTTTTAGAAACGTCAGCAGCAATTTCATCCTGTGTTAGCCCAGTTAGTTTGTCACCAGCATTACTTAGATTAATTTTAACTGATGGAGTTTCTTCTTTTCTTTCTAATGGTTCAGTAGCATGCATTATGGGTGACATTAGTGGCATGCTAAAATGTTCAGGTTCACTGGGTGATTCTACTACAGGAGGGGGTGGACTGACACTTGTAGGAGGGGACTTGTTGACAGCTACAGGAACTAACTCATCCCTTATGTTATCATGCACGAGTCTAGAATCAATATTGTCACTTACACAAGTAGCTGAAGGTGTCATGAATGGTTCCAATTCATCACTAGGAGGAGTTGACGGCAAAGGTGGTGGCACATCAGAGATTTCAAAATCATATAATTTCAGGCTATCACACTCAGCATCTATCTCTGAAGAAATTGTCTTCTCAAACCAGTGGGTGTCAGACGGTAGGCTAGTAACTGGAAGTGAAAAAGAAGTTTGCACAAATTCTGGAATTGGTGGGGGTGGTATGGTGGGTGGTGTCAGGTAAACCGTGGTATTGATAGATGTTGCCATGCTGCTACTCTCACTTGTGTCGAAGGTCAAGTCTTGTTTTTCAGTTCCAGGTGACAAAACTAAATCTGAATTCTCATTAAATTCAGGAGCAAGCTCAAAAGTTGTGTTATTATCCTCTTGTTCACTTTGTTGTAGCAGGTCGGATCCTAAACTGTTATCAAGAGGACAGCCATTCACCAGTTCAGCTGACACAGAAGAGCTTTCATTGACCCCACCATTTGATAGTTCATAGAAACTTTCCTCCACAGGCTGTACTTGTTCATGTAATATTTCCTCCACAGGGTCTATTTGTTTGGTTACTATACACTCCAAATTTGGAACATGTTTGTGAAACAATTTCTCCAATTCAGGCGGTGGAGGTGGTGGTGACGGTGGTGGTAACGATGATGGAGGTGGTGGTGATGATGATGATGATGGTGGTAGAATATATGCGTTTTTGTCATTTTCCTCAATAAAGATATTAACATCTGCACATATAGGATCAATTTCTGTGTCGCTTCCTCCCAGAAATGTTTTAGGAGGAGAGATTGGCTTAGCATAGAACACTCCCTCAGTTTCTTGTTTAAATGCAGACACTTTATTCCTTTGAATGTCTGGTAACACAGATTTGGTGTCTTTAGTAGAATCAACTGTACTATCCTGTTTTTTCAATGAACTATGACGATTAATTGGCGATTGATTTCTCGTTCTTATAGATTTATTATGTGGCATAGATGGTAGCTTGCGCCTTCCAACAACATCACCAAACACAGACGCTTGACCCTGTACTGTCATAACACTGCATTCCCCCTCCCCTTCAAACTCTTCATCAGTTTTTGGTGTTGATGTAAGCAATGTTTTAGGGGGTGTTTCATTCTCATATGGTATCTGACTGTCAGTTTTCATTGACGTGTCTTTGAAAATCGTAGGGGGTTCAATATTTTGTGCTGATAGATTGTTATTGGGTTCCTTTCCAACACTGCTTACATGACCCACATGTAATGTTCCTGGGATTGAGTAGTCCAACTGATGCTTGAGTATTTCCATTTTTTCATCCGGATTGGTAGTAAATTGAATGTCAAAAGAATTCACATCTGGAATATCAGTGAGCAGAGAACCATCAGGAAATTCATGTCCATCTGGGGGCAATCTTGGAGTCAATGGTGTGACATCACTGTCAATGGAATCAGATTTCTCAAACTTTTTACTATACTTTTTAGCAGAAGAGTCAGCCATGTTGTCAGACCTGTGACGTGGATTGATTTCTGAGTAGTTCACATCAGTGATACCAGGAGTGGTGACAGATGCAGTATTACGATTGATTGATAGAGGTGTACTCTGTGTTGTCTTTATCACAGGTTTAATTACAGATGTTGTTTTTGGGCTTCCTGGTGATTGATCATTGCCAAGTTTCTTTTGTTTCACTGGTTTTGGTGGCACAGGAGGTGGTTTAGGCTTGACTGTACTGCTGTTATCTAATATCTTTTCTGTTGAGTAAACAAATGGAATTATTAGTTTCAGTTTTGGTGATGTCAAACAAACCACATCTTGATGCACATTGGGGAACAATACTAAACTATACTTTTCTAAAAACATACAATATTACATGCAACATATTAACCCATGTTTACATTTCAGATGACTAAACCACACAGTGAAAGTAAAATTAAGGAATGTTACAAGTAGCCTACTGTAAAAACACTAATTACTCAATGGTTTTTAATTTTTTCTCTGACAAGTTTGTGTTTGCTCAAAACAGTGAAATCAGTAATAACCTGAATTTACCTTTTATACTACTAAACTTGAAAATGACAGAAATATTAAGGAATATTACAAGTAATTTATTAACTTGGGTTACCTTTCACATCAAATTAATATTACATGTAAAATATTAATCTGTGTTTACCTTTCATACTAAACCATAAGTGACGGAAAATAAAACAATATTTATTGTATTAACATTACGTCAATTATTTAACTTGCAATTGCACAGCTGCAGTGTTTTCAGCTTTTTTAATAATGACGCACAAATATGCACAAAAGTAAGAAGTGAAACACTGAAATATTTTACTGTATCTCCACATACAATTACGACATAGTAACCATGGTGATTTTATGACATTCCACTGTGATATACAAGTTATTGTTAATAGAAAAATTACATTTAGGAATGTCACAAACATACTTTAGATAAATAACAGCCCAACTACATGATGGTATGCATGACCATGTAAAAATTATTGTTACCACTGTTAACCTCATTGCAATGTGTTCTGGCTTGGCCTTTTAAAAATGACTGGAGAGTGACAAATACCTCTCCTTAAAGCACTGAGGTGAGTTATGGGTTCGGGGTGATTTAAATGTGTTTAGAATTAATTTTCAATGAGTAAAATTTGAAAAAAACAACAAAAAAAACGCAAATTCGTGTGTGTGTTAATTGTGCTTGATAAACCCATGCAATGAATACAACATGAGTAAAATACATTATTTACACAACCACCACCTTTTAATCTATATGGATTTGGAGAAAATATTTTAAATTTATTAATTCTAAATTAAACACCAACTATTTGATATAATCCAACAAATTAATTATGAGAAATTTTTAGAAGAAACTAAAAAATACTGATATAATTCCAATTTTCTCAAGAGTTGTATAGCATATGCCCGTTTCTGAATACACATTATATATATCACATTTGAAGACTAGTTCTTGCTTTGCATCTAAAATACAACAATCAGACAGTCTAGTGACTACCCAATGTGGTTCAATCTCATCGTAGAATGTTTCCACAATTTATAAAGAGACCATAAAAAGACCAGAAAAATACATGTAGTAAGCTTTATGGCATTGTAATCACCAATACAGAATTATAGTAAACTAGAAAACAACATGCATGACTACCCACCTTTGTCGACACACTGTGGTGACTGCAGAATTAACCGAACTGTCCCCCTTGGTAAGGAATTCAGAACTTCTTGACTGTCAACTCCAGTAATGGTATTGCTGAGATCTTTACCATTAACAGCCAGAAGTACATCTCCAACTCTGAAACATCATAAATATCAGATAAACACTTATGAATGGCAGTCACTAATTGGTTGCATACCAAGACTGTAATTAAAGTGATTAATAGTACATTTTTGTTACACTACGTGTTAAAATCCTGGAATGTATGGCTTCCACAAATCCAAAGTTAGTTACAGTAGAGTGTCCAAAAGAGAAACCATACAAGTTACAGCATAGAAGAAAATCGGATGTTTCTATGTTGACAGTACCAGCAATAAAGGATTTGTGGATACTAAAATACCTCAATTCCGGTATTAGAGAGAAAAAAGATTAAGCCTTATCAAATCTAATACATACATATTAGAGTATACCAGGAATATACATAGAAAACAACACAGAATTCATATAAAACAAACTGACTTTACAGGTACAACATTGTATTTGTTTGTTTACCACTTCAGGAATCAGATGTTGGTTGATTTCATTTATTCTCCGATTCCTTCAAGGCCACTGCTGACACTGGGGTAACTGCACATATGTGCAGAAGACTGACATGAATGCACAATAAGCCACGCTCAAAATATTTGCATGAAAAGGCAATCCAGAGAACAAAGCAGTCTGATTTCCAGTTGGAATTATTACATACCATTCCAACCTTTGGACATGGTTATTTTAAAAGCATCATAGAGGTCAAGCACCCCCCCCCCCCAACAGGTTATGTACATATTCATAAAACCCTGTGGTATGTGAAGCTCTCTTACTAATATTACAACACACTTCATATAAGAGTTGACTTGCAGACTTGTATGGAATATCAAACACCGTCACAAGTGAAAATCAAAACACCAAGGACATAGTTCGTAGTTTCAAAACTATGTTAGGTACACACAAGCAAGAACAGAAATTATGTAATTTGTTCATGTTTACGTATCAAATAAATAATGCATAGACACAACTATATATCCACTATGCAAGAATGAATCTGTCAATAAATAGACTATATCACAAACACTAGAATCATAATGTCTGCTACCAACACATGGCCTTAGATGGCCATCCAATCCTAAAATGGACAGACTTATATACATACATACCTAGCTATATCTTACAGTGTTCAGCAACACAACAAGTATCCCATCCAACAGCTAGAAGCAAAGCTGTGTATACACCCTAGCCTACAGTGTTGGAAGCACAAATTTACCGCAAGTGGCTTTGTACAGCACACCACTTACTCTGGCTATTCAGTGGTTGGGACAATACAATGTACTAATCAGTATGCATTGCAGGGTCACAACTATTGAATTTCAACGAACATAAAAAAGAACGTGAATTGCCTGGTCACTGTTGAAAGAATCGGCAACTAAAGAACTCAATGTATCTGAATGAAACTTTGCCAACACAAGGAAAAGATAAAAATAAAGTTATGACATAACCACTGCATACTCCTCTGTAAAAAGTTAAAGTTCCATGGTAATAACATATGATCACTGTTTTAAGAAACATTGTATGATAGAATAGATGGTCAGAATAAACATGTGGGTGAGTGGGAGTCAAACTTGTTATTAACAAAATATTTGTTTGTTAATTGATTATTAAGCTACCTGAATATAATCCTGTTTAAGTTTAACCTGATAGTGGCAAGGTGTTAATAGTGAAACCATGTTAATTACTTGTTAATGATATGCAAAATACAGAGTGATAATTGAACATTTTAATTAGCTGTTAACTGCTATAGTCAAACAATCAGGATTGTTGTCAATCTCACCTAGTACAGATAGATGTATTTTTTTGAACAAGAGGAAAACAGCTTTGGTTTTGTACATGTACAGCGCCCGGACTATTTTCAGAAAATAATTTGATGTTCAGAAAAAGTATTTTATTATGTCATTTATATGGGTCAATGATTTCAGTTTAATACTCATTGGTACATGTAAGTAAATATATTAACTTTATGGGAAAAAAAACTGTTATACTTGCTGCTTTACAGTGGGTGCAAATGAGATTCGTACAGGTAACTTGTGACCTCCCTGGGAAAGACCTTGTCAATGTTCCAATTACCCCATCACCCACATGGTTGAGGTAACCACAAATAAGATTCACACAGACAATTTACAACTTCCTTTGCATAGTCGCAACAAAATTACAAAATGAAAACAGACAATTTAGTAGGTACCTTGACAAAAATCAATAAATTCAAAAAGTGGTGCCAGGGGAAGCGAGATTGTCAGAAAATGTAGTAAATAGTTTTCATTAAATTTAATAATAGTGTTGATTTTTTCAAAACATCCATGCATTTTAAGAATTAGTTTGGACATTGTTGCATACTATATTTGCTCTAGAAGCGCATCTCTAAAAGAAAGAAACATGAACAGAAAATTGCATTTATTTTATGCTGGATCATCAAAATATTACTTATTTTCACCATACGTACACCTCTTCAATTACAAGAATTGTAATTCAAGAACCAACAGAGCAAATATGGTGTTTTATAAGATGTCAGAAAAATGAAAACAAACGCATTCCTTAGAAACAATGGACATTATGCGTGGGAAACTTTTAAGAACTTTATCTTAGGTCATTGACGTACAATTTAGGTGCATTAACACATACCACGACCATTCTACTATCACTGGCACAATGTGAATTAATGGTCTGATGAGCAGCAAAGGTGACACTAAGTCAACTGTTCTTATTGATGCTGGAGGCTGAGACAAGTCAAGTGACAATGATGATGCATGCTAGTGCTATTGCACAATATCATAATTGTGTAAACAATGATGTCCAACATGCAATCCAAGGGATTGAAAAC